CCCCTTTCTGTAAACGCCCTAACCCTACTATTCATTCTTGTTGTGGAAGGCGGGTATTTAAATCAGGGTCTGGATTACATAGCCCTGTGCGGGACTCCATGTGCTGGTCTTCCTCCAGGTGGCCTTTGGCAGGCGCGCGCCTTCTTGAGATGAGGTTTCTTACGGAGACAAGTTAGAAACTGTTGGAGGTTGAGCGCGGGGGCTTGATGCCATCCTTGTCGGGATGATGCCGGCTTGCACGATGTTAAATACTGTCGTGTGCCGATGCCCCTAAACCCCTGAACCCTTTGTAAAAACTTTGTACCCCTAAACCCGAAACCCTAAACTCCTACACCCTATACCCTATACCCCTAAACCCGAAACCCCTAAACCGTATAATACCCTAAACCCGAAACCCTAAACCCCTAAAGCCCGAAACTCGAGCCTGAACCCTGTGCACCTCTGAGAGTTTCGCATCTAATGTAGGGGCATTAATGATTGCCACGGCGCTGGGCTCGAAGAGAACAAGGGTCCACTGGTTGCTGAGGCGATTCAGCCCGAGCTGTGCAAGGACTTGTTTCAGTCGATCCACAGGCTCGCCCTCGAGTGTGAGGGTGCAAGTGGACAGCGCTCGGCTGTCCATGATTGCCTTCAGCGTTGGGCTGGAGTCTCCGCCTGCAGCGTCTCCGCCTGCAGCTGCCGATGAGCGGGTGACCAGCAATCGGCCAGTGCTCCACGTCCCGGGCGATCGGATACCCAATACAACTTGTGTCGCCTGCTGCAGGCAGGTGGCTATGTTTGCCTCCATCTGCAGCCCGGGTCAAGTGGTCTACACAAGAAGCCCATGAGCAAGAAGGCACTGAGCATAAAGCTACAGCTTATCTAAGGCGGGTCATGATTTCGGAACCGATTAAACATAGACCGGATAGAACCTTACTACAGCCAGGCACTACCAAAGACTCAAGCAAACACAAGGCGCTGCCCAATACGGACCATTGCAGTCCTCCTGGGCACAGCTCCATGACCAGGACCTCTGCTGTGCTTCAGAAGCCTACTCTTGTTAACAGGTCAGGAGAAACATGCAAAACAATATCACCCCCAACACATGAAATTTCTGAAAGAGAAACAGCAGCCCAATATCCGCATCGAAGCCCCGCTGAAGCCCCTGAACCCCGGACCCAGCTTCGGGGAAAGATGGCCTTCAAACGTTCTGTCTTTGGGCGTCTTGGACGGGCGAGTCTTGCTATGTGGGCATAGGTAAAGGAGGGACCTTCATGCTTGCAAGAAGTCCTGTCTCGTGGGGGGCGATAATCTAGTGCTATCATATCGCGAAAGAGGGGATATGCTACTACTCGCAACTCGGACCTTTCTGTTATGTGTGGGGGCGGGGGTGGGGGGGGCGGGGTGTCGGTTCTCACTTTCTGGTTGCTGGAGGATTGGAAGAGATCGAGGGATAAAGCTGTGCACCCGCCAGGTCTTCGAGCATGAGTTGGGATATAAGAGGCCTTCATACTTAGGATGGGGTTCCGGGGTACTTTATAGCATAGCTACTAAGGCCATAAGTTACAGCAACCGTACGGAATTTTCGTTGTGGTTTCAGCTTCTGTATTATTCAAGCAGTCGTGTCCTCGAGGGCGTGCCAAAGGTCCGCCAACCCTTTTTGCAACAGGCTTTCCACTTCGCCCGGAGTTGGAGCAAGCAGCCAGCCCTAAACCCTATAAACCCTATAAACCCTATAAACCCTACAAAACCCTATAAGCCCTATAAACCCCATAAACCCTATAAGCCCTAAAAGCCCTATAAACCCGATATAAACCCTATAAGCCCTAAAAACCCTAAGCAGCCGAAGTCTAAGGGACCAGCATAGAGGCCGGCATCCTGATAGTTGTGCACCAAGAAGAGCCTGAGGAGGTCTCAGGGTTTAGGAGGCCTTACAGGGTTTAGGGTTTTAATTAAAAAGTTTAGGGTTTTAATTAAAAAGTTTAGGGTTTTTAATTAAAAAGTTTAGGGCTTTATTTAAAAAGCTTAGGGCGTAAATGGTTTAGGGCATTTAGGGTTTAGGGGTTTGCGATTGAGAGGCTTAGGCTAAGGGCTTTCCAGATGATGTAGCAACGGGGTGGTCCTGCACGAGCTTTGCGTAAAGCCATTGCTCGACATCCCAAGCACGGTCACCGCTTTCTATCTAACCCTAAACCCTAAACCCTAAACCTTAAACCCTAAACCCTAAACCCTGACCACCGGGCGGATCTGCCACTCGTTGGAACTCTGCAGACGAGCATGGGAAGTCTACTCAGCGAGTCGCGCGGAGATATTCTAACCCGACGTCGGACAGTGAAGCAATTATTGCTACCCTACTTATAACCCCTATAACTACCATAATTATAGCTACCCTACTTATAACCCTTATAACTACCATAATTATAGTTACCCTACTTATAACCCTCATTACTTATAGCTACCCTAAACCCTAAGCCCTAAACCCCTAAACCCAGCTTATAGCTACTCTTGACTACGCGGTCTACCAGGACCATGGCAGGGAGTTTTGGGTTCTTCAGCAGATTTCCGTAATCCAGGGCTCGGCCTCTGAGACGCGGGGCCCCAGCAAAGAATCTCTGGCCAGGAACGGCTGGTTCGCGTTCCGTGGTACGGAATTGCTTGGTTTACGTCGCTGCTGGCTCCGGTTTCAAGGGCTTAGGGCTTTTAGGGTTTCAGGGTCCAGGGGTTTAAAGGTTTAGGGCTTCAGGGCTTAAAGGGTTTGAGGCTTTTAAGGCATGTAGGGTTTACTGGTTAGAGGTTTTGGGTTCAAAGGAGCTTTTGGATTTCAGGGTTTGGAGGCTTACGGTTCAGAGGTTTAGGGCTTTAGAGTTTTCTGCTCATATTCAGCGTTGCCCGAACGCCTAGGCCTTGTATGAGGATTTAGCGCTTCATTTAAGGAAGCTCGGGCCTTCTGAAAGCTGACAAGATAAACTTAACTTAGGGTCCTTAACAATTTGACGTAAGGCTTGGGTTTATATTCTGGGTCAAAAGGAACCCCAGGGAATAATCTTGGAAATCACTTCGGATTTTTTTGACGTGGATTGCTGCGGCTGTATGCTTACATTTACATTCCAGGACTCAGCCAGATGCGGTTCATGATTCCCGTGGCCGGCACGGTGAAATCCACCCTGACTTCGAAAAGGGAAGGATACAACTGACTAAAGAGTTCAAGAGAACTGCTCCCCACACACACACACAAGCATCAAGTCATCAGTACTCTATAAGGGTTTAGGCTTAGGGTTTATACACCACAACTCCAGCCCTTCAGCCCTTCACCCCTCAGGTGCAGGGCTTAGGATCACAGCCCTTTTCACAAAGTCTTCTGAGGAGGAGCAGGGCTTTCCTAGAGCCTGGGACCATCCCTTCTTCCCAGGAGACAGTGTAGAGCCGGAGCATGTCATATCGAAGCTGAAACCAACAACCATCATTCGACCCATAGTCTCCATTGTAGTTCCTTTTTGGGGTTACTTTATCAAATCCTGAATATGTGATGGGTTAAACCAAAAAAAAGGAACTACAATGGAGACTATAGGTAAGTTGCAGTAGCTGTCTGCGAGATTCGATCATGGCTCAGGAAAGCCGCTCATATACACCGTGAAGACGCACGACATCGACGCGTAAGTTGCACGGAATGGTAGAGTAAGAACAGTACTTCCAGTTGTGTGAAGATGAACCGACATTCGCGCAATCAACTCCTTGAATCACGGCCCGGTACCCTTTGCGAAGAAATTGAGGCACCGGGCTGCACAATGCAGGGATGCGGCTTCATCCGGATGTGGTCCGCCACCTCGCGAAGTTTTGTGTGGTCTCACCGCCGAAACTAAACTTCCTGAATCTGAACCATGGCTTTCATTACTACCATCCGCCCAGAGGCCACCCAAACGTACAATCACCGAAGCTCCAACATGAACAATGCTTCATGTTGAAAGAGGAGCGCGGCTCGTTAGACTCAGCGAAACGAGGGAGACAGCTCAGGCAGTCGGATCTTGCTCTTGTAGTCGCTTGGTGGATCCTCCACGGTAAGGCGTTGAACGGTTTATAGCTTGCACGGCCCAAGGTTGCCAGCTAGGCTGCCTTTGTGCGTTTTTTGCACCTGGGCTCTGAGGGGTCAGCCGATTCCGCCCACCCAAGGCAGCCCTAAACCCTAAACCTGCAATACGTACCCAAAACCCTAAGCCCCAAAACCCTAAGCCTGCAAGAACTTGATTCCCTAAATCCTAAAATCCTGAAACCCAAACCCCCTTAACCCTAAACCCTGAATCTATAAATCCTAATCCTGAAACCCAGAACAAACCCCACGGCCGAAGCAGGAGAAGCTGCCTCGAACTCACGTCGCGAGACGTCGGAGGTGTTCCTCGTAGAGTTTGGGTTTTCGGAAGTCTCCCCTGCATAGTATGGTACAGCACCTTAAGAACCCCAAACCTACTTTTTGTAGGGTCCCTATAAATCCCATATTAGGGTTTATAATAAGAACCTACAAAAAGGTGGGTTTTGGGTTCAAGGTATAGTATAGTATGGAATCGTACAACACAGTACGGCACAGCAAGGTGTAGTACTATACTTATCGGATGGTCTCCACAGTACAAACCTTTGAAGAAATAGTGCAGTGTAGTATACCACAACATGGCATGTAGCACTTATGTAGCATGAGTACCATGTATTAGGTATTAGTTGCCCAAGCTCTGTCACAAAAGCTGGCTGCTCTGGATGCTTGAGAGCTGGCGGCATGTCGCACGTCCATCGTAGAGAAGCTCATGTTAGCAACAATGGAACAGGAATGAACAGCGAACATTTTCAGCTTCGGCTTGAAGGTCTTTCGACCATGTACCACGTAACAGACGTAATGTAGCGGCCTGTATCAGAATAGGGTCTTGGGCTCCTTTAGACAATAAGTATAATAAGGAACCTTAAGGGATAGTATTGGTAATTAATTATTTAGGCTACTAGATTACATCGCGGAGTTGGGGCCTGTAGCACCCCCAGCTTCAGATCTCGTTTGTCGAGGCTCCTCTTCGAGTTCAGCAGACAGTCTCAGAGCCCTAAACCCTAAACCCTAAACCCTAAACCCTAAACCTTAACCGTTACTGGCCACGCTCCCGGCTCTCAAAACTCGTCGTTGTCGTATATGGGAGTTTCCGGAAATTAGGGGTACCTTATTTTGGGGTCCTTATAGTAAGGATCCTATTATTTAGGGTGCTATATTAGGGTCCCCTATTTTCGGAATCCCCCATATTGGGGGTTTCCGAACATAGGGGACCCGAATTATAGTACCCTAAATAGTAGGATCCTTATTATAAGGACAAGGAGTAAGGTACCCTAATTTTCGGAAACCCCCATATAACCGAATGGCCTAAAGAAGTGGGAGAGGGCTAGACATGCGGTGGGACCTCACAGCAGCAGAGGGATGCATCACAGAAGCCTAAACCCTAAACCCTAAATTAAGAACCACAGGCGAGAATCTGCTTCTGACGGATGTTCTTCACGGCGTAGAGCCTTAGCAGCGACAAGGCACCACAGGCCGTTTGGGGTATTCCATAGCATACTTATAGTCAGGAACCCCAAAATAGTATCAATAGTTATTGTTATTTAGGCCCCTCAACCCTAAACCCAAAGCCCTAAACCCTGAACACAAAACTCCCCCACAATATATTACATAGCAAAGCGTGCTAGCCCAAAGATGCTTTGAGACAGATGCTGGTGAATTCTGAGCAACACCACTGCGAGCTACGGGAATATTCCAAAACTAAAGCACAGATGCTTTATAGTGAGCCCAACGTATCGTGATACTGAGCTCCATGCAGAAAGCAATCCTATATACCCCTCTACTTCTAATGGACCTTGATGAATGGAACCCTTTGGTGTCACCAGGCAGATAGATGGTAATAGGAGACTTGGTATGCCCTTTGTGACCATATGTGACATGCCGCCGCTGTCAGGGTCAAGGGTTATGGGGCTTTCAGGGGTTGAGGGTTTTGCGGACTTGAGGTGTCGTCAGGAATGTTTGGGAGGGCCAGAGACTTGGACTAAATGCATCAACGTGTGAAATAGAGACCCGCATATCTTGAGCTTTGCTTCGGATTACATCCGAATATATTATTTGCAGTAAGGAATCTATATTGCCATGTCTGACCAAGAGCAGGCTTGTTTTTAGCCGGGTTTGGCCTTTAAGAGCTACGGACGGTTTAGGGTTTAGGGCCAAAAGGGGAGTGCAGGTAAGGCTTTTTTGATTGGGCTTCGGCTGGAGATCTGCAGCTGAAGCGCTTCTTCGTTTGGCGGTCCAGTGCCCGCCACACCACCCCATAGCTGCCCTGGCATTGAGACATGGCTTCGGCTTCGGGGGCTTCTTTGCCCCATGCCACACCCCAAGCTCTCAGTGACGATTCTTGATGGTTATGGTTACAGTATATAAGGGAACAGCCATGACCCTACTATATAGGGTACTAGAGCCCCTAGGGCCATACATAGTAGGTACCTGGGGAGGTTAGGGTAAGCGCGGCAACGAAGTGTCGTGGCATGCTCTTGCTATTGTAACTGACTTTGAGCCACACCATGACGCCATGCGGAGGCGGATGAACTGTACCTGATCTGAGTTCCCATAAGGCCTTCGGCCTGTGACCCAACACCCGATAGAGGATAGACAAAAGGACATGAAGGGGCTCCGTGTTGAAAGATTTGGAGACCCTAACCGACGAAAACGAACACGGATCCTGATTAGATTCTTTGCTATAGACATATTCACTAAGCATTGCGTTTTTATATCCTTGTTACGGGCCCTGCCCAAACCCTAAGAACCTAAAGCCCCAAACACCCAGCCTTCCAAACCAGCAAACCTGAGCTCTAGGCCCTAAACCCTAAACTCCAAACCTTCAAAAACACCGTAAAGCCCAAAACCCCTAAACCCGAAACCCCTAAACCCTTAAACCCTAAACCCTAAACCACGAAACCCCTGAACTCGAGCCAAGGGAAGCCCTCAGTGCCCCGCCTCCCCGAGGATGGACTCCGGTGGAAGCCTTGCAAAGATGGATCCCCGCGACGTCGAGGCAGAGGCCCTGAGCTTCGGGATTTCTTCTTAGGTTTAGGGTTTAGGGTTTAGGGTTTAGGGTTTAGGGTTTAGGGTTTAGGGTTTAGGGTTTAGGGTTTAGGGGTTAGGGTCTAGGGTTTAGGCGTTTAGGGGTTTAGGGGTTTAGGGTTTAGGGGTTTAGGGTTTTTTTTGCCTCCTACTTAGCAAGGACGAGCCCGCATTGCAGGGTAAAGGGTTTAGGGTTTAGGGTTTAGGGTTTAGTTTCTATTAACTGTGATATACGAATTCCGAAGCAGTGTTACTTGCTCTGATTCAGTACTAATAACCATTGTTGATTACAGTAGTTATTTAGCGCTGTTTGTTATCATTGAATTTTCAATATATTGTTATTGACTCATATTATTTTTTGTTCAATACTCTTAACTATTATTGCTCTTTCTTTGGGGGGGAGGAGTCGCAAGGGGTACATGGGGGTTAAGAGGGAGGAGGGTTTAGGGTTTAGGGTTTAGCAGGGGGGTGGGGGGTGAATATCACCAAAATATGGCCTTGAAAGGGTTTTTAATGACTTCCAGAGGCTTGAAAGGCTTACAATCGCTTAGTATACGGGAGGCATCAATCAAAGGTGTGGCTTGCAAGGGTGTTACGAGGCAATATAGGGGTTCTATATAGGCTGTTCTGATGTGTGTATGTATGCAGATATAAAAAACAGTATTTTATGTGTATATATATATATATGTATGTATATATGTATATATATATACACATATATATGCATTAGCTATTCTGAACCTATTCGCGTTTGTTCGTTCAAGCGAGCAGGTAGTTCATGACTCGTTTTTCCTGCCGAGCTGAAGAGCAAACAAAGCCTTGAGGACTTCGTATGGGTTAGCCGCCGCATTTAACACTGTGGGGTTAAATGTGGTCTCCTGATTAATTCCCCCCCCGCCATCCTGAATCCGGAATAGTGGTCGAGGGGTCCGATTTCACAAATCCTAACCCAGTTGTCGGGGGGGTTGGGGGGTTGGGGTCTAAGTTTTTGGAAGGTCACTAGTACAGTACTAGTGCAGTAGTACAGTAGTAGTACAATAATGCTAACTAGTACAGTAACTAGCGTATTCCAATGGCTGGCTATCTCTCCTCTCTGTGTCTCCTTTATCTTGCCTGTCTCTCTCTCTCTCATTTTCTCTCTCTCTCTCTCTCTCTCTCTTTCTCTCTCTCTACTCTTCCAGGACGTCAGCTTGTAGCAGCAGTGTGAACTTCCCCAAAAGCTTAAGACTTTCAAAGCGGGACGGGAATTCGAGATTCTTGAGGGGTAGATCTTTATTGTGTGCAGGCAGAGTTTAGCTCAATTGAGGGGACCATTACTAATCACGAGCTCACATTAGGGTTTCGGGGTTGGGGTTTACAGAAGAAGAACAAAAAGAAAAAAATAAAAAGAATAAGCCTTTGTTTGATTCATTGTTTAGTTTGTGTTTTGTCCTTTGCCAGTCCGCCGCAGCCTCCCTCTAGGGCTTGGGGTTAAGCGGATTGGGGTATAAAGTTACCCGTTGAAGCGCCCTTTAAGGGTTTAGGGTTTAGGGGTATTCCACGGAACTTGCTAACAAGCCTTCTGACATCGCGAATATAGGGGCCGAAGTAATTACCAACACTTGTGTGGGGTTCCTTGTTACAATTATCACTATAGCTGTTTTATATACCCCAAGACCATCGTCGTACCATGGATCCTCCGAAGCCCTACAGCCGAGACCATGAGCCCCGAATCAAGTATAGGGGCCTTAATGATTAGAAGAGGGTTTTGGATTTCATTGTACGGGTTTTGGGGTACGTTGTATTATAAGTATAGTAAGCCCCCAAAATAGAATAGGTAGTTACCTAAAACCCGAAACCCTAAGGCCCCAATATTACTTGAGCACTCCTCCCGGCAAGTTTCCCCTGGGGCGCGCGCGGAGTTGGCGAGGAATCCTCTTTTTTCGCATAAGGGTACAGGGTGTAGGGCTGGCTCAGGGTTTAAGTTTTAGGGCTTTAGGGATACTAAAAAAAGGCCCAGGGTTTAGGGCTTGGAGTTTAAGGTTAAGGGCCTTCAGCAACTTTCTCGTGGCCCTGACGAGCTTACGAACATCTCTCACCCTCGGACTCGCCAGACGATGACCTTGGTTACGGTGAGTGCATTTCCAAATGCCCAACTCCGGACAGACCCCTGAGGGTCCATGTACCCACATAGAAAATAAATTGGTCCCAAAGTACTTGTATAGGGACTACTTTAAGGCCAAAGCATATCTATTTGGGTACATGGACCCTTAGGGGACTACAGTGAACCCCAAACAGTTGAGGCTATTGCGTTTTCCAGCTTTTGGCCTTCTACGTACTGCACAAGACCAAAGATCCTTATAACTACAATCCATAAAACAACTACGAAGTCCTGAACCCCAAGGCCGCGAGAACACAAGCGGCCAGCGTTGCTGGGGGTGAGGGATCAAAAAAAAATTAAATCAGGATCAAAAAAAAATTAAACCACAAAGATCAAAAAAAAATTAAAAACCAGGATCAAAAAA